TGATGACAACACCAGTGTATTGGCACACTGTTCTAACATTGATGTCACCACTAGTGTATTGGCACACTGTTCTAACATTGATGACAACACCAGTGTATTGGCACACTGTTCTGAACATTGATGACAACACCAGTGTATTGGCACACTGTTCTAACATTGATGTCACCACCAGTGTATTGGCACACTGTTCTGACATTGATGACAACACCAGTGTATTGGCACACTGTTCTAACATTGATGTCATCACCAGTGTATTGGCACACTGTTCTAACATTGATGACAACACCAGTGTATTGGCACACTGTTCTAACATTGATGTCACCACCAGTGTATTGGCACACTGTTCTAACATTGATGTCACCACCAGTGTATTGGCACACTGTTCTAACATTGATGTTACCACCAGTGTATTGGCACACTGTTCTAACATTGATGTTACCACCGGTGTATTGGCACACTGTTCTAACATTGATGTCACCACCAGTGTATTGGCACACTGTTCTAACATTGATGTTACCACCAGTGTATTGGCACACTGTTCTAACATTGATGTCACCACCGGTGTATTGGCACACTGTTCTAACATTGATGACAACACCAGTGTATTGGCACACTGTTCTAACATTGATGTCACCACCAGTGTATTGGCACACTGTTCTGACATTGATGTCACCACCAGTGTATTGGCACACTGTTCTAACATTGATGTTACCACCGGTGTATTGGCACACTGTTCAAGCAGCTCAGGTAAATTTGCAGTCCAGTAAAATAGTGTTTTCTGTTTAAAAGTTTGTTTAATACAGTGGTGTTCAAACACGCATCACTTCCACCATTTTTCTTAAATTACCTACTTTTTTCTCAAAAAAAAAAATGATTGGAAACTCTAAACAGTTAAGTTTGTTGTTATTTGGACCAAATTGGTAAAAGGTAAAAATAATTACCAAAATGATTTATTAAAATTTGTTGCTTTCTTTACTCATAAAGGATGAGTATATTTTGATTGAAATATAGATTATTGTGGAATTATACAATTCATGATAAATGTAATGTTTATCCAACAATTAAAAAATGCAAAGTTAATAAATAGTACTAATAAAAACTTCCCTAATTCATTCAATTGGAAGTGAAACCACTGGATTAATGTGTAAATTGTACACAAAACAGCACTTGATGAGAAAACCCCATTTTTAGGCATTTTGAACGCACACAGATGCACACACTCTGCCAGGCAGATTTACTTGCTGACAGATATTACATATAAATATCACTGTTTTTAAATTATAACAAATTGCATTAACTTTTTATGCATTTTATTGGTAAATTTTGTGTTTCAACAAATATGGTATTTCCTTTTGATAGATCTATGTAATGTCAAAATTGATCTTGAGAAGTTGAAAATAAGGCAGAATGTAGAAACATTTAAAATGTGGATTTATTACATTTTTAATATTTACTACAAATCTATGTAAATTTTGAGTATTCCATGGTAGTTATTTTTGTCTCATGTTAAGTATTTAAACTGGTGAAGATAACAGTCGAGGACATTGATTTAATGTTTAATCCATATTAACAATTAACCCCTACCAATCAAAACTGACTTCTGGAACTACTTTAAACCACTTAATTGTTGCTGCTCCATATTTCAGTGATTTGATCATTATGGCATTTATGAGAACAAAATTATAGAAAAGTCACTGATACTTGTATAATATTGTCATATAGGAAATTCACAAAAAAATGTGATATTAAAGCAGTTTACAGCTTTTTGCAGTACTTAGTGCCAAACAAACCTTAATAAGAACAAAACTTTAAATCAATAATTTCATGACAATCATCTGCACTTATATGATGAGCTGTTTATTTTCATTATTGCAAAAATTTCAAAATGGCTGCCACTCACTTTGCAACACCTTCTAATATCAGCAAACTAAATGCAAATCAATACAAAAAGTATACAAATAGTTGCCATGGAATATTCAGTTGCGTAAATGCTGTAATTGATGTAATTGTGTCTGTCAAAATTTGAAAAAAATATGTTTAAGAAAAAAAAACATTCTTTAAATCCTAATTGTACTCTTCGATATTAGCTTTGATATTGCAGGCAAGTATATTGCTTGTGTTCTTTCATAATATTGGCAAAATAGGACAGATGGCTGTTTTTAGTAAGTTAATTTGTTACCAATAATTCAGGGCTAGATTTTACACAATATTTATTATATATACATTTGTTAAAAGCAAAATCATACGACAGTTGGCCAGTATCATTTAAGTATATTTATTATTGTTTGTATTGTGCTATTTCTTCACAGTCCAGCTTATCATTTAGTTAGGGACTCGCATGTATGACTCCCTAGCCTGTTCATTGTAATAACATTACACAATTCTGTTATCAACTGATCTACATTGAGGGCGCTATTTGTTTTATTGCATTTTGCCATTTCATTGCTGTGATCTGTTAAATATTGGTCTACAAATGACAGAATGCCCTCAGTTTCGACCATGCTAGGAATTCAATGTTGTGTAAACCAGTTAAAAAGCAGGTTTGGTGGTATTCAAATTTGCTCAGATCTAGCAAGCTTTTTAATTAAGGTTTTGCTTCTTGTCCTATCATGGAAATTTGAACTTGTGTGATGTTGCAGGTTTAATTTTTTTGATTTGTATTCAGATTATTTAATAATACAAGAGTGAAATGTATGTTAAATGTTCATCTTTTATCTAATAATGATTTTGAATACATGCATTAAACTTTTATTGAATTAACAAATCATCATTTGAATCAGAAAACAACAGTTTTCCCAGATGTGCCACATTCTATCGGTACAGCAAAAAAAAATGCTTGAGGAAGAGGTTTCAAACTGACAGGCTGTGTGATGAGAACCAAAGCCTTATTTTTGTCCCAAGGTAATCAAAGTAAAAAAGAAAAGTGAAAATTCACCTTTCCCTCAAGTAACTACATACCACAAACAATTCAGATATATAGAATCTTCCTACGAATGCCACATACCTCAATTTAAATGATTACATAAAATCTGCATTGTAGCAGAAACTCAGGTATATGCATTGTATTCAGTTATCCACACAAATGTACATTAAATTATAATTTATAGTTGTTTTGGGGCATATTTATCATTACTGTATTATCTATATATAACTTAGATTATAACAATTTCCATTTATGGATCTGCTTGCAGCTGTATGTATTATTATGATTTATATGTTATGTGGGTGATTTGGAATTGGGTTATTTAATTAAGCAGGCTTTAAACTTCTTTGCACCTCTTATTTTCTGGCTATGTCCATGGGTAGGTATTATTAGTTGGAGTGACAGACCTCTAGTGACCTAGTATCGCTTGCGGTATCAACCCTTCTTTTCCAACTTTATCAACCATGTTCCTATTTTGCAGATCTGGTATTTTTTCTGATGATAATGATCAATCTTGTTCTGTTTTGATGGTAAAGCCAGAATGATAACTACCGTAAAATCTGTATTAGAAGCCACATCCCTAATAGAAGTCGCACTCATTTTTTTTGAACAATTGAGAAGAAAAAAAAATCACAATTTCTCATATGTGTAGATGCTTGAATAGAATCCACATTCCCTCTGTAGTATTGTACCAATTTAATAGAAGCCGCGGTTTCTAATACAGATTTTACAGTAATGTGTTGTATAATTTGGCTACTATTCATTATTGCTCCTATTTAATACAAGATCATTATTGTCCTATGTTTATACCATGTCATTATTTTCTCATATTTAATGGGAGGGCATTATTTTTCATATCCATATCATTTCATATTTCAATTCGAAAATCATGGTTCACAATCATGAAAGTTATGTCCAATTCTCACCAGGTCATTATTGTTAAAATCACATGGGGATAGGAGTTAGGGTTGGGTCATTATTGTTAAAATCACATGGGGATAGGAGTTAGGGTTGGGTCATTATTGTTTATAGTAGGTGATTAATGGTCTATTTATTTTGTAGATGCAAACAGCTTTCATAGTGTGTATATTCTGCATCCTCCCAAGATCCAATAAATGTAGCATCTGTCCATAGTGGACGATGGTTGACAAGTATTTCAAGTTTTTTTCTTTTTTTGTTACTGTGTGTGAAGTACATATGTGGAGGTGTCTGATATCTTGAAAACAAATTCTCAAATTTTAATGAAATTTGATACACAATTCTAATCATCTTGATTTTTGGTTAAAATCTGTGCATATATACCACGTTTGCAAATAATATAAATTAACTGTGCTGCCCTTTGTAGAAATACTGCATTCTCATTGGTGACTAGTACAACATGCAAACCTATTATCAGATAATAACTAGGCAGTTCTCCTGCTAAGTGCATACATACAAGATTGTGTGTGTGCAACTCGTCAACATTTTGCCACATTGGTTCCAATTTAATTTGGTCATTTTGAAAACTGTGCGAGTGTTCGCATATTGTTTGCTCATGAACTACTATGCATAACTACCCTGTCTATTTCAAACTACCACAAATCGAGTAGTTGCTGTGTCTCAACCATTATTGCTCTGTACTTGCTTTGTTATTAGAGACTTTCCCTGTATGTAAGGGTGGAAATATCATTACATATGTTAGGCAGATCACAAATGGTACCGAAGATACAGCATAGAGTGGAGAAGATTATCGATGCATACAGATTAACCATATTTATGAATTATAAAGTAATCACCTAATTAGAATATAGAAAAAAATATGTGATAATGATTCTTTAAATGAATTTAAAGGCAGGTGTAATGTATGTACAACTATGTACAGCAACACAGAAAGTTATCCATGCTGTATAACCTGGCCTTTTATTAAAAAACTCATGTCTATCGCTAGCTACTATTGTCATGATTAGATTACATGTAGTTAGTGCACATCCCTCCCTATTTTGCTGAATGGTTTAGCCATTAGAACAGTTCTAGTAGGTTTTTGTTATTAAATTCATTGAAATTGAAAAGTTATTGAACAAAATATTAAAAGCCGCTCTCTATAGCTCTTTTTCTCTGAAGGTGGTCATACTGCATTGGACATTTAGTCTACACTCATGCCCATACACAGGCTCCATCCCATCCACAGGGACTTGTCAACTGACAGGAGTATCCCGAGGTTGGAACAGTCAAAACTACAGGTAAACACGAGTATCCTGAGGTTTCACCAGTCAAAACTAGGGGTAGACACAAGTATCCCTAGGTTTCAACAGTCAAAACTAGGGGTAGACACAAGTATCCCAAGGTTTCAACAGTCAAAACTAGTGGTAGACATGAGTATCCCTAGGTTTCAACAGCCAAAACTACAGGTAAACACGAGTATCCCAAGGTTTCACCAGTCAAAACTAGGGGTAAACACGAGTATCCTGAGGTTTCAAAAGCCAAAACTAGAGGTAAATATGAGTATCCCGCGGTTTCAACAGTCAAAACTACAGGTAAACACGAGTATCCTGAGGTTTCAACAGCCAAAACTACGGGTAGACATGAGTATCCTGAGGTTTCAACAGTCAAAACTAGTGGTAGACATGAATATCCTGAGGTTTCAACAGTCAAAACTAGTGGTAGAGATGAGTATTCCGAGGTTTCAACAGTCAAAACTAGGGGTGGCCATGAGTATCCGGAGGTTTCAACAGTCAAAACTAGCGGTAGACATGACTATCCCGAGGTTTCAACATTCAAAACTAGAGGTAAACACGAGTATCCTGAGGTTTCTAAAGCCAAAACTAGAGGTAAATACGAGTATCCCGCGGTTTCAACAGTCAAAAC